TGGTGGCAGGGGTGCCGTACCTCAAGATCACCCCAACGATGAGCCCTGAAACAGTGCAGGAAAAAAAAAAAACACCATCAGGCCTACGGAAGGACAGAAAGAGAACATAATGACACTGTCGATTTGCAACAAGTAAGAAACGCAAAGGTCATCTTCGAGCCAGCTGCACACTCCCTCCAAAGGGTTAACATCTTCCCGCATGAGTCCCTCCTGCACCAGGAGAATGAGGCTGGACAGCACCTTTCCTGGTTATTGTGGCACTGAGTATTTTCTCCAAGAGATAGTGTCTCTGTTTCTTGGGCTTCTGGTGGAGGAAGATGGAATGATAAGAAGCAAAGCCTTTCTTGCCAAGGACAGCACAAAGCAGAACTGCCAAGCTTTGATCTGTACCAGCAACAGCCCTCAGGCCAGGCCTGTGGCCATCTGCCAGCAAGGACCAGGCCACAGGAATTTCTCGCTCCTAAAAACGCAACTTGCTTTTTGCCACACACCAGAGGAAGGGGTGGTGGTGGGGGGCGGAGACAGAAAGAAAAGAAATGCTTTTGTTCAGGTCATTTCAACTACTGGAACTACTGGGTGTCATGAAGGAAGTAATTCTGTCTCTCGGGGAGCTCCACACTACAGTGCAAATTTTTATGATCCCGATCTGAGGACTGTAGATCTGTCTTCTTGGAGCTGTGGGCTAGGATACAGCTAAAATAATGAGCTACAAGTCTTGAGGTCTCATTCCATTCGTAGGTGGGGTTTCCCATTAGGGGGGAAAAAAACCCAGCAAACCTGTGGATAAGCATGGGATTCCACAGCAAAGGAGTGTGGCTCCCTTGGTCCTGAACAGGAGTCCCACATGCTGCAGTAAAAGTGAGTGATATGTAAAGAAAACATAAATTGCTATGAGACACTTTCTATGGTTCTCTTAGGAAAAAGATTTCTGACTTCTTTCTATCTTCTGTTGTTTGCTAGCGGTATTAAAAGACAGAATGGTAAACATGCTCCCCATCTCGTTTTGCCACTAATGGAGGAAGTTCCATGAGAAAAAGAAAGTTCTATATTTACTATATTCTGTGCATAATGTTCTATAATCTCTCTTATCACCAAGACATATGAGAACTCACAAGACACTGTAGAAGAACAAACAATATGTGAAATCTGGAAAAATATATTTTCTTAAAAAAAGGTTTTATTTATTTATTTGAGATAGAGTGAGAGCACAAGCTTGGGGGGTGGGAAGAGGGAGAGGGAAAAGCAGGCTCTCGGCTGAGCGGGGAGACTGATGTGGGGCTAGATCTCAAGATGCTGGGATCATGACCCGAGCCGAAGGCAGATGCTTAACAGACTGAGTCACCCAGGCGCCCCTAGAAAAATACGGTTCTTTAAGCCAAACTCTTTGTCAGTACTGCATTATTATTATCATCATCATTTTTTAAAAGATTTTATTTATTTATTTGACAGAGAGAGATAGAAAGAGAGATCACAAGTAGGCAGAGAGACAGGCGGGGTGGGGGGGAAGGAGACTCCCCTTTGAGCATACAGCCCGATGTCGGGCTTGATCCCAGGACCCTGAGATCATGACCTGGGCTGAAGGCAGAGGCTTAACCTACTGAGCCACCCAGGCATCCCTATCATCATCATTATTATTAAATATCTGCATTAATACTTGCAGCTTGTTGACCTTCGTGAAAAAATCAAATTATAAAAGTTTATTACAAATTAAAAACAAGGTTCTTAACAGTCTCAACCAGATATAAAACAGTTTCAAAACCTTTAAAGGTGTAGGAGAAAAAGCCAGCCTTTAAAGAAAAACATGTTGGTCACTACCACAAGAAAAAAAAAAGATGTTGTCTTCAGGGAACAAATAACAAAAACCCCATAATGCAGATCGTTCTGGTCATCGGGTCACAGGGCAAGCACTTGAGGCCTTCAGCACCAATCTTTGGTTCAGGTCTTCCTGCTGCCATTTCATACTCATTTCTTCTTTCTTGTTGGGTGACTAACCGGGATGACATGGGAGATGGCAAGCCAGCACTTAGTCTCCCCTGCTCAGCCTCTGAATGGACTTCCCAGCTGCGGTCTCTCGGCCAGCTTGCGGGGCAGGGTTTCCTGGGTGTCTGTGCTGCTAACTGGAGTTGGGGAGGTCCCTACACCGAGGTGGCTGCTGGCCGTGGGTCCCTCCTTGAGGTTTCCTACTCCTCTTCATGGCTGTCCCAGAGAATCGCAGTCTCTATAACCCTGAGGGATCCTGTGTGTCCCCATCTACCCTGTTCTCCTGTACCCTGGTTCTCAATGCCCTCCTTGCTTCTCCCTACACAGGAGGCCTGGAAGACCCTGGTCAACACTCAGAGGGTCTCTGTATGGCGTAAGGTGTGTGCGGCTAGGCCTGGCATCCTCTTCCTTCTCCCCATTCTCTACATTTGCTGCCTCCACACCCTTTTCTCCGTCAAGAACATCGAACCCCATGGTTTCTTCACCCTCTGCGCCAGGAAGGTGCTTCCTGGGGCTTCTTTATCTTTATGGCAGTCTCATGTACAAGTATGTATCGCTTCATGTCATTCCTGCGGACGAAACCAGACCTGTTTCTGATACTGAACCATTTTACCATTCTTGACACTTCTGTCACGATGCCTTTTTTGTCCCTGCCGGTGGGCCCTCACTCCCTCCATCCTGCCCACAGAGCCATGTTGGGTGGTGGCATGGCTGCTCAGGGTCACAACGCTGGGGCTGGTGCCCGGGGCCGGCTGTGGCAGCCGCGGCTCCTCGCTGGGGATGACAGTGATGAGGTCGCCAGAGTGGGGCTCTGCTCAAGGTTCTCTGGGTTGCTCTCCACTCCACATGAAGCTCCTATCAGTTTTTATTGTTGTTGTTCAACGTTTCTTCACTCCCTGGTCAGGCAGTGATTTTCTGAGCAAGTTTTACAGGACAAGAGACGATTCCATGGCCCTTCAACACTCATCATAACACAGAGTCTGAAAGCTACCCATTACACAATTTAACTACAGTGTCTTCATCAGGAAACCAAAGCAAATCATTTACAGCAGACTGTCCTCCTCCCAGATCAATGGGTGTTTCCCATAACTCACTGTTTCTTCACTGGTTAGCCTCATTATCGATGCAGGTAACTAGAAGGTAAGCCATGCTAGCCCAGGGCCTTCATGATGGCTGCTACTCTAATGAAAGAGGAGGTGTGATACTGTCATTTACAATAGGAAATGTATATTTGGCCTCTGTCCCAATTTCCTGATACACAGCTTCTACAGCCCTCGGAATCCTCTGGGAGAGATAAGTGTCTTTTTGTATGCTAATAAGATGACTGGTGGCTGGGGGCTCCTGGACTGCCCTTAGGATGGGAGTCGGTTGCCAAAGTAACAACCTTATGATTACAGAGTTGAAAAACTAAAGCCCAAGCCAAAACTCCAGGGAGGGGAGGGGGCAAGCCGTAGAGTTAATCACTAATGGCCAATGATTTAATTCACCATGCCGAAGTAACGAAGTAACAGGAGTCTCCATAAAAATCCACAAAGGACGTGGGCTCAGAGAGCTTCTGGCTGGTGAAGGTGTGGAGGCGCAGGGAAGGGTGGTGCACCCACACGGCCGGAAGCTCCACACTCCCTCCTTCATGCCTTGTCCTAGGCATCTCTTCCATCTGACTGTTCCTGAGTTATATCCGTTTATAATAAGCCTGCAATAAAATAAGTAAACTATTTTCCCGAGTTCTTTGAACCGTTCTACAAATGACTGAACCTGAGGAGGGTGTCATGGGAACCTCTGATGTGTAGTTGGTCGGCCAGAAGCACAGGTGACCACCTGGGACTTGTGATTGACATCTGAAGTTGGGTGGGGGGGCTCTTGTGGGACTGAGCCCTTACCCTGTGGGAGCTGATGCCGTCTCCAGGTAGTGTGAGAATTGAGTTGAATCATAGGCCACTCAGTGACTACCCACGTGAGAGCTGGAGAACTGCCTGGTGTGGGAAAATCCCCACACATCTGGTTACAGAAGTGTTGGGTGTAAGTATTGTGTACAGGGGAAACAGGAGTTTTTTTTTCCTTATAGGAGTTTTATATGTGCAGACAAATTCCTCAATTACAGGAAATGCCCTCGTAGTCTCTCCCAGTAACCACCACTATCATACTAGGAGTGCTATTAACTGATGAAAATTGTTTGTATAGACAGATAAAACGTTTCCTTCCCTACCTGGGCCCAATGTGCCCATTTTAAAGATGGAAGACAGTGAAGGTGATGCTACTGCTCCCTTGTGGGAAAACATGGCAACATAAACCACCACAGCAAAGACGACAAGGACAACAATGAAGACAACAACAAGGACAACTCCATCCTGATAGTTTTGACCAAAATGATACCAAGCAACAGGATACACTGCTAACTCATGGTAGACTTTGAGTTACTTCTCAAGCATTTTAGACTCATATTTATCATCACTGTAGTTCATGGCACAAAGGAACAGAGTCATTGCTATGATATTAAGTTCATGTTTACTGTCTTCCACTTCAAAAAAGAATAAGATATTAGGACTGCAGAGGCACATTTTGGTAAGAAAAGGATAAAAGGTGTAGAAGAAACATGAATGGCATATTTTCATCTGCTAGATCTGGAAGACATTCTCTGATAGGGAACTGTAAAAAGGTCCTAGTTACAAGGAATTAAAATACAACATTAAGTTTTTTTAAAGCTCAAAAAAAGTCAGTATCCACAAAAAGAATGATGTAGATCAACAGAGGCATTAAAGATTTTACTGGATGAACACCATAGTGTTCTGGATTACAAAGAGAAATGACCTATTATGTATGTGGCCCAGAAACGTAGCATGTAAGATGTCAGCTCCCGAAGAAAAACAATCACTGACTTCATAGGTATATGACGAATATCAGGGAAGAATGTGGTTTCAAACTTTTACAGAAAGCAAAGATGGATGAAATTCCTTTGACATCTGACAGGGCTTAAAACAAGATGACAGACTCCAAAG